ATTCTCTGAATTTATAAAATCTTTGCAAAATGTTAATAATTTTTATAGCATTCTAGAAATATACATAAGTTTTGTGATATTCTATCGCGATATGATGAAAAAAAGCTTCTATACAAGAAACAATTTTAATTCTCTGAATTTATAAAATCTTTGCAAAATGTTAATAATTTTTATAGCATTCTAGAAATATACATAACATAAGTTTTGTGATATTCTATCGCTATGATATTTCTGGTATTAATTGGGTCAAACTATTGTATACTTCGAATTATTTAACAGTACTTTCGTGTAACTATAAGAAATTGAAAATTAAAATTAGAAGATAAGGGGATATGTAAATATTTTTGTATTAGTTGAAGTGACACGATTTTCGAAAAATTCGTCAGTTCAAAAAAATACAACAAATTTACTATTTTGAAGCCGATAAAATATTTATCCTCCTCGAATATAGTATAATTTCTTTTTTCTACATATTCAGAAGCAAATTATTACAAGGTAGATTATTTCACAATTCGTTTTCGTAAAGTCACAATCATTTAAAGCATCGACAATCCTTTCGCTCGACACAGTATGAGAAACTGTCATAAATCCATCTGTACTCATATCTGAAGCTTGACAAATATATCACATATATCATTCTGAAACAAATTTTGCAACTTCAAACGTCATTACGAACGCTGAGAAAACGTGTCTCATAATTAAAAATGCATCAAAACAGCCTCGACGATTGAAGATTTCCTCTCTCCACGATATAATTCCTTACTTCTTATTACTAGTTCTTCTCCCAAAGTTCCAAGTAGTTTAAAGTATTGACAACTCTCATCGAGCACGAGTGTTCCCCAAGAACGTAACAACCCGCGCATTGTTTCCCCTGAATTCTCAGCCGTGCAATCTTTCCAGAAACAGCGTCTTAAGCAATGTACTCGAATCGGTAGTTACAAAGGATTACTATGCCTCCGTTCACGAGAACGAATTTCAAGGAACTTGGGTTATTAGATCAGCCTCCCATATCCTAAACGCAGTAATAATGTAACTGGATGCTCCAGATAATTTCGATAGGGATCTACTTATCGGGAAAGGCCTGCTCGAGCAAAGGGATGAGTGTAGTTAAAGGGTGGGAGAAGAGGCTGAGAGAAAGAGAGAGAGAGAGAGGGAGGGAGAGAGAGGAGGGTGAGGAAACGAAGAAGGTGAAACAAGGGATGCCGGTGGCACGTCGCGTTCCTATCCAGATATCTTCTGGTTTCCGCGAAGCTGTGGGATGTCGCCGTGAAAGATAATTCCTACTGCGAGAACTTCTGTCACCACTTGTTTGCTTCCTCTTTTTGATTAAGATTCTTTCCCGACCAATTTTCCCCTCGCGCATTTATTCCCAACTTCTTTTCAATTTTCATTTTGCCGTTCAACGAACGAACGAATTCTGGCTCACGCATTCTAACGGAAAGTTTGTTATGCAGGAATTGTTTAGAAATAAATATGAAATAATACTATTACGCTGTTGTTATATAATAATAATATTATTATTAATAATTAATATAATATAATAATAATATACATAATTAATATAAATTATTATAATATTTATTATAAATTATTAATAATAATATACATAATTAATATAAATTATTATTATATTTATATTATTATTTATATTACATATATTATTATTATTTATATTATAATATAATAATAATATACATAATTAATATAAATTATAATATTTATATTACTATTTATATAAATTATTATTATATAATATTATTATTATATTAGTATCATTGTATATAATATTATTGTATAATATTATTATTATTATTATTATATAATGACAGCATAATATATTTCATATTTGTTTCTAAACAATTCCCATATAAATAACTAAACTTTCCATTAAAATGTAATATTTATTATTATTAATATTATTATATAACAATATTATGTGTATTACATATGTGCGAATAATTCAATATTTTTGAATGGTTAGATATATTTATACGAATAACATATGAAAATAATTTCCGCAGGCTTATTCAACTTTCCTCTTGTTAATTCCGAAGGAAAGATTTTAAAACTATCTAAATAAAAAAATATCCTGTCAGATTTTGCCTTATTTTCTTTCCGTTTCATCGTTAGGGGACTTTATCGTTATACAAGCAGTTTACTTTTGTAAATTAATTTCATTTATGATCCTGAAACCTTTTTTCCCTTCTGGTGTTATTAAAAATGTTAGGGAAAATTAAAGAAAAACAAAGGTTTGAACTTTCTGAAACTATCAAAATATAACAAACATAAAATCTTCCAAAATCAATTCTGTTAACGATTGAAAATCTAATATCTTCTAAAAGTATAGGGAAGTATAGGATATTTGGAAAGTTCTTTCGTAGAATTTTATTCACACTGTCGTATTTAGAATCAGCTGTACTTAATTTGTAATCAAACATGAATCCCAGTATCAACGACAAACTATAAAATTCACATCAGGAAAATTAAAATGCGAGAAACAATTCTATAATGTAATAGAGAAAAATGAGCATTTATTTGTTACACGAAGAAATTCATTCAATGTATTATAGAAACGCATTATTTATTATCGCTTTCTTACGTTTTTATATTTATTATTCATATACTTAAAAAAAAAATCATTAAAATTTTTCTGCCTAGTTTATTTATTACATTTATTACTTGCTATTTATCTGTTTTACAAAAGATCATTCAAACCTTCAAAAATCTCTAAATCCATAAAATTTGTGTAAAATTCGTTCAACCCTAGACTATATTTATTTTATATATCTCGCTCTCCACAACTATTTCACCACGACGCGAAGATATGAATTTAAATCCGATCGGAAGAGCTTCATTTCGTCGAAATACAATGTTCGATGTTCGCCCCTTTAAAACCTAGAGGTTAAAAATGGCGAGGGCGCAGCGTTAGGGGAAGCTCTTTGATAGAGCCGTAACGAAAAAAAGTATGCGGATAAACGGGGTGAATTGGCGAGATTGTTGTAGCCGTTGGAGAAGGGTGAAGCGTAATGTTTCGCGCGGCAGGACCCGCATGACGCAGCATTAAGATAGTATCCTTCCCTGGGAGAGTAATAAATACGCAAACAAACTTTCCTCGTTAACCTATCAGGGATTCGACAGACCACGGTCGCCAGTTAGATACGTCGAATACGTGGATCAGATAAAAATCATCTATTTTACCTGAACGCGCGAAAAAGAACTCTCGCTCCGTATCCACGTGGTAAAGATCAGAAATATTAATTCCAACTTAGGCATGGATGTTAAATCAAGTCTGATACTTTTACTGTTCTAAGAATGGTATGCATATTTAAATAGTACTTATACTTAGTTATATAAGATATAATATTATATTTTATAAAAAATATATAAAATATAATATATTTTAATATTATATTATTTTATAATATAATATATTTTATATATATGCAACGGCGCACGAAAGAATTTTTATATACATTATACAAAATATTGTACTGCAACTCAGCTGTTATTATTAGTATAATTGTTCAAGTTTGAAACAAGTTTGAAAGATTTAAAGAGTCACAAGATATTCAATACAATTATACAGTTTCCAAGACGTCAGAAAATTATTTAAACAATTAATTAGTGTTCTGAGGTTTTCGCGACCAATTGTATCAACTGTGACGATTCTAAAAGTTGAATGGTTATTTATTATGAAACTTTTACTAAATTTTCATACATTTTTTATAGTGGATTTAAAACAATGAAGTCTCCCTTTTGCAATCTACCTTTTATATGATTTATGTAATATTTCGCAACTGTTTGATAAAAACGAATGTTCATTTTATCCTGCGTTCGTACACTCTGTTGTATTATTACATAAGCTTTTTCCTATCCGTTCTCCCATTTTTTTTTTTTTTTTTTTTTTTTTTGATTTTTTTTTTTTTTTTTAATTTTATTTTTTTTTTTTTTTTTTTTTTTTTTTTTTTTTTTTTTTCTTTAGCTTATGATTAGTTACCATGCTCGTTTTTTTTATGATATAATTACTCTCAACTTTTCTAATTGATAATATAATGGTAATGTAACCATAACTGTGTTCAAATGAATCTGATTACAACTAGTTAGTAAATTTAAACCAATATTATCAAGAACACAGTGTCATCGGATCAATCTAAATGTTGCATGTTATCCCTCTTCCCCATGGTATACACATGTATGTGTATACAAAATTATACGTGTTATTTAATCATTATATTGAAACAACACACACTTTTGACTATAATTTTTTAAATGTTATGTACACAAACGTAGGGAATCATCTTTCAAAGAAATCCTTTACATGTCAATGTAATTTTATAATCTTATTCTATCCAATAATAAAGACGACGATATAGATCACCTATTGCTTTTTCACTACATATTCATAACTTCTTGCATATTTTATATATATATATATATATATATATATATATATATATATATATATATATAATTTCATATATATTTTTCTTTCATTTTTTATGTAAGCTAAATAAAAACTATTAATATTTTATTATATGTATCGATAAATTCTAAGGAGTGCAGTCTTTATTATTGAAGAGGAAATTTGAAACGTATCTTGTGGAAATTTACAATACATCAATATGTATCTGACACTATCAAAAGCCATTACTATTAGCAAAATATTGTATAAGTTTTTAATAACACCGATGCAGCTTAAGCTGTTTTCTCATGATGAACTTGATTTTTATCTTTTTCTTTCTTAAATAACTTAGTCGTATTTATATATTCAAACAAATTAAGTGCAAATCGATTAAGTATCGGAAATGTACTAACATTTCTGGTGCTCAATCAATATAAAAATCTTGTGATAACTTTTACTGCAAAGTAAAATGTATAACTTTTTCATTTTTGCACACAAAGTATTGTATATGTCGTATGTTTATACAATACTTTACACCGGTTTCCTTTTTTTAAAGGACAATGTCTAGTTGTTTCATATAATTTTATCTGTGTTTTTCTCCCTTGTTTTAGTGTTTCATTAATGTACTTTTTCTATGCTGGTTATTGGTCAATAGAAACTTACAATGTTACAATTAGGACATTCCTGACAACTTTAAAATCGTCTGTATGATGTCATTTCGAGATATGGGAAAGGAAATCTTGATGTTTGAGGTTGAGAAGTTTGTTGAGTATGAATGGGTGAATATGATGGCTGTTGAAGCAGTGTAGAATTTTGTTGATTTTGCAATGGGGATAATGACTGTCCGGAAGAATGTGAATGTAGATTTTGTGGGTGAGAAAATGATAACGCATGATGGCAAGGGGAAGTCTGCGAGTTCTGTACATTAGCTTGTGGTATATTCAAATTGTTCGTAATGTTGATATTGTTTAGTATGTTGAGACTGTTAGATACGTTATTAGGGATTGTCAGATTGCTCGGAATACTGAGTGCGTTTGGAATATTTATGCTCGTTTGTAGATTAGGTGGAAGGGAAAGAGTAGCCGACGTAAGATAATGTACGCTGAAAGATGGACGGGGGGGCTAGTAAAGCCTCATACCTTCTTCGAATTTGACGATAAGAGGATCAACAGCTGGACTGCCAATAAAACTGCCTGCTTCACTGCTTCCTCTACCTTGATCAGACTCAGTACTACTACCATCATATTTTGTATCATCTGTTAGCAATTAAAAAAAAGAATCTTGTAAAAAAATATTACAAAGTTATAACATGTAATCATAATAAAATCACAGTTCATGAGGTATTCTAAAATCAAAATATGATAGTATGCTATGATGGATTTATTTAATAAAAACTATGAAAACAAAAGTCTATACACTTCATATTTCACTAATTTTCAGTTTTCATTAAATACATAAATTTAATGAAATTAAATTCTGTATTTCCTTTCTCTCATTGCCATGTAACAACAGCTTAAATTTAATCTAAAATAAAAATCTACAATTGCTTCATACTCTCACCTTTCCTATGTTTGTGTCCTAACACTCTTATACTGCATACTGACATAATTTGGCTGTTTAACTTTGAAATACTCTATCTGATGACATAATAATCTTACCTTGACGATTAGACCATTCTTGGTTCATGGTTTTTGATGTTAAATCAAAATTTTTTACTGGATTAATAGGATCATTAGTAATTGTTCGAGCATTCTTATGCATAAATGAACAATGTGGTTTTCTACAACCTCCAGGTTGTGTTTCCCAATAACATGGAATCGATTTGCGATTTTTCTATTTAAACAAATAAACATGGAACATTAATAATCAAACATTTCAACTTTCACTTAACGAGTTATCTATTTTTAACATTTGATGCTTACTCTTAATTCCATATGCCTAAAGTTACAATGTTCATCAAAGCATTTACCCTGCTTCCAATATACGCACATTGTTTCGCAACCCAAAGCAGATGGTTCATGTCTAAATGGACAGTTATCACCCTACAAATAAAATTATAAGTTAACAAAAGTGACAAACAATAACAAACAAAAAATATATCAAAAGTACTATAGTAATAATAAAATAATGGAGAATCATGACTATTAATAGTTGCAGTGCTCATGTACATTATAAATATACTGCATACTTAATATTATAATTCAAACATTTAACAGTTAGCATTGTTTCACATAACAATGTATTATGAAAGTAAATATACAGTTATTTGTACATAGTAACAAATATAACAGCTTTTAATTAATATTAAAATCATTAGCGACAAAAATTCGGACGACAAAAAAAAACGATAAAAGTCAGATTTAAAGAGAAAAAAGATTCGAAATAATCATGAAACGAAGAGAAAAAACTTCGTGCAACATATAAATAACATGATTTATTAATTATTTTAAAACGAAGGCTATCGTAGAGTCTGCCTCCAACATGGCCGATCTAACCTCGCGAATTCAATATATCAGAAACAATATGGAACAAATTTATTGAACATTTGGAATTTTGCCGTGATGATTGAACACAGTGAACACTTCATGCATTTTGTGTAGTACATACCTTTGTGCACGTTGAGTAATAGAAAAAATAACAGTCGGTATTCTTATGACTGTGCTCCATTTGCAAAGACCGATAGAAAGATGAGTGATCGTGTTCTTTACTGAAAAAGAGAAAATATTAAAAACTATTATCGTTATGAAATGTGACATTTCATACGAAAAAAAAGGGGGAAAAGATTAAAGTAAAATGCATGTTACCACTTCGTGCGAAACATGATTACAGCTTATAGTGTATCGTGCTCAACCGCCAGTTCCAATGTCATGGAAAATTAATTTGAATGTAGAAGTTTCGCAACCACAAATATTTATACTGACGGGAATGACCTTTTTTTTCACTATGTATCCCATATATATTTGTTACTTACGTGTGATGGCAGTGATTCCTCGGATGACTTCTTTTTTGCCCCTTCGCTTTGACCCACACACTAAATCAACTCGCACACAGATTCAGGTAAATAGTTCGACCGTGGCACTTGTCGCCCCTTTCGTTAGAGACGCTATTTGCTACAGATACGATGCCGTAAACGTCCGAGAAAACACGAGAATACACGATCGTTTACGCGCCTTTTTCAAATTGGCGAATAGTGTACAAAAATATTCAGCATGATACTTGATATTCTATACTGAAAAATTTGTCAAAAATTCAAATTTTACTACTTTATTTATATACGTAAATTTGTAACAGATTTTTATAAATCGCAATACATTCGTTACGGTATGTATTTAAAGAAAAGAAATACAAAATATTATGTTCAGCCAAGGAAGCATAAAAAAATTATTTTTTTCGAGCTGTATTAAATTTACATCCAATTATTAAAAAATATTATATATAAAATGATTAATAAATACATTTAGATTAACGCTTTACAATTTAAGTGCATACTTAAAGTAATAATAGTCATAAAGTATATAATAGAGATATTACATAATATTTTATGATGTAATATTATATAATATTATATAATATTGTGTTTTTATAAATAATTTTATATATATATAGATATATATAACGTTTAATGTAAAAATTCATCCTAAAATATTCATATAAAAAAACAAATCAAATTTTCTTAAGAAATATATAATTTAATCAAATGAATAGAAAATTCATCAAAAAAATTCATCAAAATAAATATTTAGAAATTACTAAAACAATACTTCAAATTTTCTTTTTATTTCGTTATAAAGATAATTTATATCCAATTTTTCGCATTTTTAAATGACATATATAGTTTAAAAATGATATACATTTTATATACAATAATAATATAATTATTTTCGGTTAATGCATTTGCAAAAATCAAAGTACAATATCAATAAAAAGGAAGCATTTTAAACTAACATTTTTAACAAAAACATTTGATTAAATTATAAAATATAACAATATAACAAATGTACAATATTTAAAAAGATTAAAATATTGATCTTTCTGAGATTAAAAATACATAATTATATAGTAAGACAGTGAAACATTAATTAAAATTTGAATATTTCATTACAACTATAAGAACATATCATTATTAAACATGATGCGAATATTTAAAACTTTCGCATTTAATTTTATTGTATATATTTAAGGTAGATACGATATGTACATATAATTATAAATACAGGGTGTTTCGTAACTTGTGGGACCTACTTCGGGAGCTGATTGTACGCCTAAAAATAATGAAAAAAAGTCATATAAATATATGTCCTATCTGTCTTTGTTTATGAGATATAATGAATTTTATAAACAGAGCAAACTGTCTGTCCGGCCTCTCTTTCCATAGACCGCAATAGTTCATAAGCAAGAATTCGCACTGTTTACAAATAATACTTGATATCTTTCATTTTTTGTACTTGGTTCCTGCAAATGTGTGAACGTGAAGAGAGTTTTGTATCTACCATACTTTTCACTGATGAAACTAGTTTTACCAAGGATGGTACATTCAATTTTCATAATAATAATAATTAGGATGAAGAAAACCCACATGTTATTGTGCATTCAAGACATCAAAACCAGTTTAGTTTAAACGTATGGGCAGGAATAATTGATAAATTTTTAATTGGATCTTTTTTTCTTGATGGGAAACTAACAGGCACAAAGTAC